AGGCCCAACTGAAACTTCTGAGGAAATATTGGTAAGTTTAACTAGCTTGGGAAAAAATGCTTTATAGGAGAATATATCATTTTTTATTTAGCAAGCAACTCCACGGTCCACTTTATAAGGTTTCTGTTGTTCCTTTTTGTCTTGTTGGGTTTGTTCTTTACCTTTAGTTCAGTTGGCTTCCACCTCTAGTGGGGGACTTTCCATTTAAGGTGGATGGCAAGACCAGATGACACAAGTGGAGGGTCTGTCCCTCCCCCTTGGTGGGCAGATGAAATCAGATGATTGCAGGCAGGCAGGTAACTTGGGTTAAGGGAGCTTCAGGCAGAGGGAGACAACACTGGCTTCCTCACTGGGAGGGACCTCCAAATGCCTACGGCAGAGAGGGCTGGCCGGTTGCTATCCCTGCACTGTCCCTCTCCCCAGGGGTGGAGTGGAGGTGCATGCTCTATGCTGTCCCAAAAATCCTGAGGCCTGCGCCTGTCACCACAGTGTGCACGCAGCCTGGTTGGCTCAGGCTAATGCTTTGTGTGGAACTACTAGCCTGGTTTAACCAGAAAGGGCGCATGGGGCCCTCCACCACCCTCCCCCACCCTCAGCAGCCTGTTGTTGGCATCTGACCACCTGGGGCTGGATACCTTGGTTGCAGAGCAGCTCTGATGCTGCGTGTGTATGTTCACATGTGTGTCTGTGTGTCTGTGTGCATGCTTGACCTCAGGAACCTCGCCCCACCTGCCCTGCTAGCCTTGGTTTCCTTAGCTGGTGGTGGGGATGGGTACCACCTCCCTGCAGGGTGGTGAGGAGGGTAAAGCCTGTGACACAGTGCCCACACATAACGAGCACTCCACACACACCAGCGTGTCAGAAACGTTTTATTACACTCAGAATACACTCATTAGAATGGGTAGGCCAACAGTCTCGTGAAATCCAACAGTAAAACATGCCTTAACATTCGAGTTTGGATTTGAGGAGACAGTTAATAGATAATGACGGTAATTGCTGTTTTCTCTTTCTTAATAACAAAAAATGGTGTCCTGAATAGCTGGAAATTAGGAAGCTAAGACGCCCTCCACATTTTTGTTTGTTACCTCACTGTCACAAAAAGAAACTGCCAGCCCCTTAGTATCTATTAAATGTTATGTGACTTATAAAAATAACTATCGTCTAAAAGTATTGCCGTTATTTACAGTACATTGCTATCTCGTTTGTTGTCACTTTCGTATTGTTTTCGAGGGGTGATGTGTAAGTTTCCAGGCCTACGTCAGGGAATTCAGTCCTGTACAGTGGAAATGAGAATGTGTTATCAACGTGTCACATAATCAAATTTAATTCAGTTCAGTTAAACTTTTATCTTTTATGCTTTTCTTTTATGTAGCCGCATTCATAACACAGCTTCCAGGCTAAACATTAGGCAGAAATAGGATATGCGAGTGGAGCGATAATGGGCTCACTTTTTAATATGGAGGAAGATTAGAATTGTATTAAATTACGTGTTAATGGAAAAATAAAGCAAAAGATAATAGGATGACAACTTTATGCTGCTGTAAAGTCTAGATCACAGCACATGGTTTTGCTATTTATGAGTTGAATATTGAATTTCCTTTGAAAACTTGCCTTTAATTATATTAAAATATAATATGATCTAAAATATCCCCTCCTAATATATTAAAGTGTTCTAGTGATAATTTGGCTTTTGAGAAAGGAAGGACTGAGTAGGTATTATGGGATAGCCACTGCGATGAGCCAGTGAATTACCTTGAATTGTGATAAAGTGAGGCTACCTTTGGAGATAAAGGATTCATTGATCCTTGACTTGGAGAACATGCAGAAGAGACCCTGTGCTGCCCTTGGTATGAGAGGCAGCCCCACTCCTGCTCCGAGTCCATTGGGATTCCTCAAAGAATGTTCACTTCCTCTGCTGCTGTCAATCACTCCGGGTGTGACAGGTCTGGCCTCTAACTTCTTACAGATCCGTGACATGATGTCCCTTCCTTATGAGATATCTCCATGTCTGAGCTGGTGTGGACAGGGGCAGTCTCAGAGCCCGAAAATGGGCATTTGAACCCATACCTTGCTCTGGTCGTCTGGCAAATATTCTCACAGGTGATGGTGGTTCCTTACGTGGACGACCAAGAGAGTTGGGTAGAAATAATCGGAGGGAGCCTGGAGTCTCAGCTTTCTCTCCCGTTTCCCACGGTCACCCTAGGTATTCATATAGAGTCTGCTGTGGGGGGTCAGGGTGGGTGGCTCTATGAGTTCTAGGTGTCACTAACACAGGATTGCTGGTGCTATCTCTCAGGCAAGGGGACATTAGTGAGGAGTAGGTGGGAGAGACGCCCTCTGTGGTGGAGGACAGGTGGGGCAGGCTTAGTTACAGGACTTGGACTGAGGGGTGCATTGGCCCTGGGGAGGAGTGTTGGACCAGTGCGGGTGAGGGGGGCAGGACTCGGATAGCTTCCTGCCAGATGCACTAGCATCTTGAGGATGTCCACTTCTCATTCCTGTCTGGACCTTCACCTTGAGGACAGCGCGCAGTAGGCACTCTCTAGGCATTGTCTGAAGGGAGGTTGAATTGCACTGGAGCTGGGTCTTGGAAATGAACACAGGAGAAGACGGATGTGTGCAATGAGGGGCTGAACGAGGGGCTCCGGCCAGCTCACCCGGTCATGACATAGATTCGAGCAGGTGCTCTGCACCTGGCACATGCTGGGGCTGGCCTAGAGCCATCACAAAGCAAAGCCCAGCCCTCATGGAGCCTGCCATCCTAGAGGTAGCCCTTGGTCACAGTGGAGAAGCTGGGACTTGTGGGTAAGCTGGTGAGCTCTTGGGCAGGGAACCAACTGGTGGGGGTGTGCTTGGGGAAGCACAGGCCTGCAGCAATGTTTGGGTGGCTGTGGACAAAGGAAGAGCAGTCGGGAGGCTATTGCTGTGGCCCTGTGACAAGCACTAAGAGTCTGAGCCAGGGCAGGGCCTTGGAATGAAGGAGGTGGGCGCAGGGAGTGAAGGGTGAGCTGAGAGCTAGGGTGGGGCAGAGGAGGAAGGCGAGGGTGAGTAGAGGGGCGAGTTGGGAGGCAGAGAAAGGGAGAAAGCCAACAGGTCCTCCTTCTCCCGAGGGTTGTCGGGGCACCTGGCAGCCATTCCGGAGACAGACAGAGAGAGGAAGCTGTATCAAGTGTCGTGAAGCAGGCTCTGCTGAGTCATAACGGCGTCCTCAGGGCTCCCCACAATTCAGAGCAAGCTTGTCAGTGGGCTCACAGCAGGGCACATGCGGGGCGGGGGGAGGCGGGACATAAGTGCACAGCCTTCTCCTTGTGCGGGAAGGTGGGAGGGGCTGTGGAGAGGGAGACGGGGCCCTGGTCAGGAGAGCCAGCTGTCTCCACTGTCCCAAGAACAGAAGGCTGGCTGTGCAGTGCCAGTGGGATGACGCTGCTGGGGCCATCAGACCCTCGCTGGGCTCAACCCACAGGCCATTCCTGGGCACTCAGCCTCATGGGTTCTTCCCACCAGTTTTCCTGCTGGAATCAGCTTCTCAAGTCTGTATTTCCTGCATATATCATATTACATGCATGTTATAGATGGATATATGCATTATATACACATACTATATATACATAATATATGTGCATATTATATATGGATATATGAATTATATATACATACTATATATGCATATTATGTACTAGAATAGAATCTGTATTTTCTGCATATATTATATTATGTGCATATTATATACTATATACGCATATTATACATGGATATATGCATTATATATACACACTATATATGCATATTATATACTATAATAAAGTCTGTATTTCCTGCATATGTCATTATACGCGTATTATATACCATAAATGCATATATGTATTGCATATGTATGTATATTATATACTAGAACAGAGTCTGTATTTCCTGCATCTGTTTGGCCACCAGTTGGAAGCAAGCCCTGACTTGGGACTGAAACAGAAACACTGGGACAGCAAGAAGCAGAGGTGAAGGAAGGGGCTTTTCTAGCGAATCCTGGAATCCAATCACTTAGGTTTAATTAACCCTGAACTTTAAAAATGCCAACCCAAAAGGACTTCAAATGATAACAATGACAATAATAATAGCATAGGTAATAAATGTTGAGGGTGTCTTCCTCCCGGAACTCTGCCTGTCGCATTGCCAGTGTCTTGTGTCCCTTGCCCACAACTAAGAAACAGAAGCCTAGAAAGCTCAGGTCACCCGCCTGGAGCCACACACCTGGTGGTGGCAGGACCAGGGCCCTCACCTGACCAGTCCATCTCCAGACGCCAGCATTTCAACCACTGCACCCAACCACCTCCATAACAAGAAGTCCAGGGGACGGTCCACAGCCAGCGGCTGCAAACCCAGCATCCTCTGAGAGGTCGACTCCTGAGGGTTTGATTACCCGTGTATAATATTGCAGGTCACATAATCAAACCATTGTTTTCTTTACAGCAGCTTACAGTTCAAAACCGAATATCTGAAATGGAATGTCAGAACGTCCTGGTTTAGTCCTCGTTTTGCCACATTGACAGCCCTGAGAAACCCTCCTCCGCTCCTTACCTGCATGGCAAGGATGTGGCCTTAAACAATCTCATGATTAATACATTAGAGTGCAGCACATTAGTTTACCAGGCAATATCACTGATTAAATAGCAGATGTTGTTTTTAAACTTGTTAAACTGAACCACAATAAACAAATCTAATTGAAATGTAACTCATTTTTCCCTCAAGTTGTTTATTTGTTTAATACATTTGGGAATATTTGGAAATATCAAAGTTTACTCTCCTTGATGTTCTCATACTTTTGAGCAATTGATGTGGTATAAAAAAGCAGTTGCCCACTTGAATGCCCAGACCAAAAGTGACCACTGACCACTGGATAAAAATAGTTCCTGCGTGGGGCGTCAAATATTTTACTTCTCCAACACGTAAGGTTTTTTGTTGATATTCCCACAAAGTCTTAAATGGCATTTCTGTTGCTTCCTCCACAGATCAGCAGTATTCATGGTCGCCAACTCAGCACTTCGATGAAGAAAGATACTCGCCTGCTCCAAGGAATATGAAAGGATTATCTGGGAGTCGAAATCAACCACAGTTGTGTTCTGGTCATACGTGTGGCTTAACCCCGCCTGACGATTGTGAGCATGCCCACGACCACATCCACCATGGGCAGGACTCTCGGCAGCCCTACCTGCTCAGCCCGGCGGAGAGCTGCCCCATGGACCACCACCGCTGCTCCCCGAGGAGCTCCATCCACTCCGAGTGCGTGATGATGCCCGTGATGCTGGGCGACCACATGTCCAGTAGCACTTTCCCCAGGATGCACTACAGCTCCCACTACGACACGAGAGACGACTGTGCCATGTCTCACGCCAGCGCCAAAATCAACCGGATTCCGGCCAATCTTTTGGACCAGTTTGAGAAGCAGCTCCCCCTGCACAGGGATGGGTTCCACACGCTGCAATACCAGAGGACTTCCACCGCCGCAGAGCAGCGCAGCGAGAGCCCGGGGAGGATACGACACCTCGTCCACTCCGTCCAAAAACTCTTCACCAAGTCCCATTCCTTGGAAGGCTCTTCCAAGAGCAACGCCAACGGGACCAAGGGTGACGGCCGGGTGGATGACCACCACCACGGCCACCACATTAAACACAGTAAACGGAATAAAAGCAAGGAGCGGAAGCCCGAGAGCAAGCATAAGTCGGGCCTGAGCAGCTGGTGGAGCTCCGACGACAACCTGGACAGCGACAGCACGTACCGAACATCCAGCGTGGTCAACAGGCACCACCTGGATCACGTCTCCCACTGCTACCCCGAGGCGCTGCAGGGCCCCTTCGGGGACCTCTCCCTGAAAACCTCCAAGAGCCACAACGACGTCAAGTGCTCGGCCTGCGAGGGCCTGGCCATGACACCCGAGGCCAAGTACATGAAGCGGAGCTCCTGGTCCACGCTCACCGTGAGCCAGGCCAAGGAGGCCTATCGTAAGAGCTCCCTGAATTTGGACAAGCCCCTGGTCCACCCGGAGATCAAGCCCACCTTGAGGCCGTGCCACTACCTTCAGGTAAGGAGTCTGGAGGCCTGACTGGGGCTGCCCGTCACCGTCTTTACGGCAAACCATCGCAGGTGGCGTGGGCTCTGGGAAAGCCGTGGGGCATCCTAATTCTGCCTTTAAACCACAGCCCTGAGTAGGAAGGGCTGTTCCTTGAACGCCTCTAAGGCTGGAGGATTTAGCATCAGCAACAAAATGTACTAGCCCATGGTCATGTTTTCTCACTTGAAAGTGGCTGGTTTGGCCCACTGGAAATTGGCTTGAATGAGTTCACTGACCGTACCTGAGAATAGCATCTTTAAGCTTCAAAATACCAATGAGCATGATTATGGGAAATGCAGCTGCTCCTCTGGGGTGTGGATTAAATGAGTTTACCAAAGGCGAGAACAAATTAAAGACAGTGGATGGCTAGAGGGGGCATATTGTAGAATTCTCTTTTCTGTAATTTCCCTCTCATCTCTGCCTCCTAATCATGCCATCACTGAGTCTGTGGGTACCCCAGGGGAAGCGTCAGCCCCTGAGAGGCACCCCCTCTTTTAAGGATGCCTCTGCCGTTACTTGTATCGGCTAACAGTGCTATTAGCAAAACTTGAAAGTCTGAAGTTTCCTTTAATATACACATAATTTGCATTCCGGTTCACCATCACTTCTACTTGCCTGACAGCAGTTGCTGCAGGCTATGCATTGGCTTAGAGAAATCTTCCCACAATGAATAATAGAGCTGAATGCTGGCTGAGTCACCCGGCAGTCAATTAATGGCACAAACAACCATGAATCTTTTTAGGAGTCAGGTGGTTGCAGATCATTTCAGCAACTCCAATTGCCATCCTGGTGCCTGATCCAAAACCCACTGGTTCTGTTTTAAAGGGAAATGCTAACCCAATTGCTTTTACAGGCAGATTTATTCAGAGACAAATAGGTAGTTGGATAAAATACCATTTGTATGGCAATGAGAGAGACTGAAATTCTGCTTGTAGTTAGCAAACCACAAAAATATACAAATATAAAATTTTTACCTGTACATATCTAAAGGAATATGATGAATAGACTCAGGGTTCACTCTAGTTATTATTCAAGAAGCAAAACTCTCTTGTCTTTCTCTGCGTTCGTACCTGGGAAATCTCTGATGCAAAGTCCCCTGAACACTAGGACGATGCCACAACTGTGGTTTTTGGCCACTTGGGCCTGACTCCAGACCCACCTTCTTCCAGGACACTTCCCCTGGCCACCCCTTCTCTGCAGTCCCCATACCCTAGAATCTGCCCTCCCCTGAAGCTATCCACTGTCCCCTTTACTAACCATCCTTTTCTCTGGCCTCCAACAGCTCCTTTTAGTTTGTTTTAATTATGGAAAATATTAAACCTATACAAAGATAAGAGCATAACATAATGAACACCTGTACACTCATCACCCAGCTTCAAAAACAATCCATTCGTGGCCAATTTTGTCCCATCAGTACCTCACCCACCTGCCCATTCAGGTTGTGTTGAAACAAATCCCATACATCCTAGGTAACTATTTCTGTATTTATCTCTGAAAGTCCACCTGGGAATTTTCGGACTCTTTCTTTTGAAACATAACTGCAATACTGTTATCAGACGTTAAGAAATAATAATAATTCTGTACTATTTTCAAATATCCAGTCAATATTCAACTTTCCATGATTTCTCACAATCTCTTTTTAACAAGAAAAAAGAATTCTTTGTTCGTATCCGGATCCAGATAAGGGGCCACATGGAAGTGGGTTGATCTGTCTCTTAAAAATCCACAGGTTTCTCCTCTGTCTCCTTTCTCTCTCCTTCCCTCGCATTCCTCCCATTTCTACAATAAGCGTTTGGAAGGACTCTCAGAATTTATGAGCACTGGCCATTTGCTTCCACACGATTCAGAAGCAAGAGTTAAGTTTTAACCAGGAGCTGAGAGGTGTCATCTCTGAAGACCACAGCATCTCCGACATCCTGTCTCTAGTGGCCACCCGGCTTGTTTTGGTCCTGTCTTCCCCTCCTCCCCACAGTATCTACTTGGGTCTTTATTGATCTGTTCAGCCATCTGTGATCTGTCTCCCCCATTGAGATTCAGGCCTGGAGAGCATTACACCCTCATCACTGCGTTAGCTCTGCATCTGGCTGGGGGTCGGACACGTTATAAAGCTCTAAATGAAGGAATGAGGAGGCACCTCCAAGTGTCCTCCCGTTTGGAGGACACTTGGAAGCAATGAAAGAAGCCGCTCAAGTGTCACTTCAACAAAGAAGAGTCTCTCCAGGCCCTGGAGGCGTGTGGGTGGTTCTAGAACCAGGGTGATGAGGAGGGTGGATGAGCGCCTGGCCCCTTCTGCTCTCACAGGCTTCCTACATCTTCAGGAGGCCGAGTCAGGGCTTGTAGGGACTGTCCAGCTCCAGAAAACCAATAGTTCTGACAAGCTTCTCAGGAAACTTTTCAGTATTAGTCCTTTAGAGGCAAAAGATGAGAAACATGATTGTTGTAATCAGGTTCACATCCGTAGTGACAGCAATGCTTTACAGCATGAAAAAACTCCAGCCGACCTCATTCTCCTCCACTCTAAATGCATGCCTGCAATCCGAAAGAAAGATGTTTGCGTTGAAATCGCTCCTGGTCTTAGATCTTGGCCAGGGACTGACAGAGCACGTGGTTACAGTGGCTTTCAGGCGTCTGTCTCCCTTCCAGACCCACAATGAGACATCCAGCCCAGGAAGCATTTCTGAGGTCCCTTTGAAACCACCGTGGACGTGAACTTACAGCCGTGCCCTCCTCTCTTCAGCTCTTTGTGGTTCTTGGTCTATATCCAGCTGTCCCAACTGTCGGCTCTCTGTCCTAAAAGTGCCTCCTGTAAGATGGAAATGGTGATCTCCCCGTTGAGGGTTAGAGGAGGTGTGTCCATCTCCCAATCTCCAAATTTCCCCATCACCTTTCTCAGGGACTTGAGTTTCCTGATGGCCCATCCTGTCTCCCCCCAGGCCTCTTAGTGTGAGAAGCAATCACTGAGAGCTCCTGGATCTTGTTGACACCCATGGAGCTCCTTTATCTCCCCAGGACCAGTCTACAGAAACTTCAGGATCTGTGTCTGTGGACTTGGAGTCTGGGATCACATGACCCACTCATCTACCCAGTTACAGGCCTCCCCAGCCCGCGTGGCTGTCCTCAGTGACTTATCACCACTGGGAATGGCTTGGCATCGAGGCCACTTAGAGAGTTCACTGGTCTGTCTGTCAGCTGGGTTACTTCCCAGACTCGCTCAGACTGGGATCCCTGTTGACGTTACTCTATGATTGTGTCTCTTGTCCCTTGAGTCCCATGGAAAGCACTGGTTCCTCTTTCAGGCACTTCTCATAATCTGCCTTATACGGTGTTTCTCTGTGTATTCTTGGCCCATTTCATCAAAATGTAAGATATCCTCATATTGTGTAGCATTTTGTGATCTCTGTGGCACGGTCACATTTATTGTTCTATTGTTCAGTGTCTTTCGTGACCGTAGAGTGGGGAGTCCTGGAGAGCAATGGTATCCCCTACAAAGGGTTTACCTGAAAGAGTTTATAAAGGAACTAGTGACAGAGCAGTGGGAGGGATGTTAACCACACAGGTACCAGGAACACTGGAAAACCATTGCTGGCCTAGGCCTGTGGGCAGGATCTGGTGAGAGGGAGGAGCATGGGAGTGAGGCTCCCAGGATGGGGAGTGCTGGTTGGATGCAGGTCCTTCCAGACGATGGACCCAAAGCAGGAGAGAGCTATGGAAGATGTGCCACAACCTTTCTCTCTTCCCTACCTCATGTCAGCCATTGGCCGAACCCACCAGAACCAGAGAATAAGGGACGCAGTTGATGCAGAGTCTCCCTCGGGGTGAGGGCAGGAGCAGGGCAGGGATGAGAGGAGAATGGATAGGGGAGGAGATAACAGAGGGAGAGTGACCAGCACACGAGAAAGTGACCAGCACATGAGACAGTGACCAACACATGGGGACAGTGACCGGCACACAGGACAGTGACCGGCACATGGGGACAGTCACCAGCACACGGGACAGCGACCAGCACATGGGACAGTCACTGGCATACTGCGTCCCATTCCAGTGCCTCATCTGGGGGACCTGGCATAGTCTCGCACCTGTGATGTGCATTCAAGAAACACTTGTTGAAATAAATTCTCTGTGGAAAGATGTGGGGGCTTCATGAGTCTGGTCAACCTTGTACCTCACTGATCTGTATACATCGGAGTTTGTGGTTAGATTCAGACAGTGTAATAGCACTTTGAACATCATAAATTGTTATATAAACCTGCAGTATTGTGTGGGTAAGTATTTTGTTTTACCCAAGTTTACAGTTAAGAATGAGATGAGTGACTGAAACGGTCATTAGGAAGGTTTAGGATCAGAAGTCACAGATCGGTTGTGGTGACTGGGAAGCCCTGGGATCTGTTGGGTTCCTTTCATTCGGAGATCTCAAGATTCTGAGAGATCATCCTCATCCATACAGTAAGTGTTGACTGAGTGTCCACTGTGTCCTAGGCACACGTCCTCATTTGTGTAGCCCAGTTGGGGGCCTCACTTATCAGGGCAGCCCCCCGATTTTTGTGCAGGGCAGTAGCGATCTCTCTGTTCTGCTTCTCCCACTCCGCATAACGAACTCCCCTGGCCTGGGGCAGTCTCTTCCCCATAACTGTGTGTCTTCAGCCCGGTGGATCTGTTGGTGGTCTGCACACGAAGCTAGGTCATTGAGTGGCCGTGGGGGGCCTGACCCCAGCCCCCAGGGCAGCGTGATTACAGGCTGGGCTGGACATGCTGTGTGTGGAGCCCCGGACCGCTGGCCTACAGTTCCAGGTCGTCCTGTGTGTCTGCTCCAGGGTCTGTCATGGTTTAAGGAGTGGCATGGAAGCAGATGTGGCCTTGAGAAAATGAAGTCAGCAACTGACCAGTGGCTCTAAGGAAAAACCAAACCAGAAATTAATAAACAAAAAAGAACTTCCCCAACCATGCTAATTAGACTTGGGATTCAGGAGTTG